TTGCAAGATTAGGTATGACAAGAAAATTCAAAAAATTACAAATCGCAATAACTCAAAATTACGCCTATGAAACCACCGTTTGTGTTCTAACAAAAAATGTTTCTTGAGGCATTTTACTATGTAATAAAGCCACTTCTAACTCTAAATCTAACCCTAACCCAAATCCGGTTACTGTCACCGCCGGTGACAAGCACATTTTTTCAATAATATTTATCTAATTAATAAAATTTTATTTATAATTGATTTGTTTAATGTGAACATGATAAAAAAACAAAGGACATCACAATATTATCATTCTATCTTATGAATTTCCAATACTGCACCTAACATGCTTCAGTTTTTATCAAAAATAGCATAGAAACCCATATCTTTTTACGAGAAACCTGTAAATTGATTGGTTAACATTAACCTTATCGAATTCTGACCTAAATAAATCGATACTGAAATAATTTCATTGCTTCGGTAAAAAAATTTTGTGGTATGCACGTTCTATAAATATGAAATGGATCAGATTCTTCTGATAAGGCCTTCCGAAAACTATGTAATGCAAACTGCAATAGTCCGGGAAGGCGTTAAACAAACCTTACTTGTTTCATTGTTATTAACACAAATAAAGCCAAATTGCAATCTATTTTCTTTATTTTGAACTGCTCTTATGAAAATTGCCGTTGGTTAAGTATAATACTAACGTGCATATCAAATAGAAATGTGAGTGACCACACAAGCATAAGGATTGTAGTGTAATTCTATGCAAATTTTAGAATTACTCATAGTTTATTACGCACAGAAGAATCGGGTTTGGCATTTACAATCGAAATTTTTATTTTTTTATTTTATTGTTTATTTTTTTATTTTTATTTTTATTTTTATTTTTTTAAGAGCGAGGCCTGGCCTCGGTCTTTATTGAATACAATCGAAATTTATTTTATTAATTAAATGCGAGTCGAGATCATTTTACATCATTAGCTAACGAATTAGCAATTATTGACTAGATGAAATTTTTAAAAAAAAATTTTTTTGAAACCCCACCCGACTATTAAAACATACAAAAAAATTTTCTTCAAAAGTTTCCAAAATTTGACCCGGCCGGGTTATGAGAAACAATTAATTAAATTTTTACGACCTAATATTGAGAAAGGTTTTTTTAATGAATTAAAAATCAACCCAAGTTATTTTTTAACCGGTTAATCGATAAAAATATTATTGACGCAGAACATTTAAAAACAAAAAACATTTTTTTATTATTAAAGTGAAATTACAAAATATGCATCTAAATGAATAATTTTAAGGTTAATCATTGCTATAATTACAAATTGCACTTTTGTTAAAGTATTAATTGATAAAGTGGTGACCAGAATAACCAAAATAATTAATAAGCCAAAAAAAAAAAATCTAGCGACTTATTTATCAAAGGTTATATTGTAATAAGGTATTATTGCACTTTCAAACTGAAGGAAGGATTGGGCCAGCTAACAAAACTTCGGGTGAAGCCTGGTCTTCATATTGCATATAGTTTTCAATGAAACGTTGAGCCAGTAAATTCCGAGTTTTAATGTAACTCTCTTCAGAACCTTTCCAAGTTTTTGAAGGATTTAGTATTTCAGATGGAACACCCGTACATGATGTTGGAATTTGTAAATTAAAGACATCATAAAGTTCATATTTAGCATTGGCAAGTTCTCCAGTGTGAATGGCATCTATGATAGCACGGGAATACTTGAGCTTTATACGTTCGCCAACACCATATGCGCCACCATTCCATCCGGTATTAACTAACCAAGCGTCGGCAGAGTGACGTTCCATTCTTTCGGCTAACATTTTTGCATAACGTGCTGGATGGAGCACAAGGAAAGGTTGACCAAAGCAAGCTGAGAATGTAGCTTCTGGTTCGGTAACACCATCTTCTGTTCCTGCAATCTTCGCCGTATAACCAGAAATAAAGTGATACATAGCTTGAGCTGATGTAAGTTTGGAGACTGGCGGGAGGATACCATAAGCATCGCAAGTTAATAAAATGATATTTTTGGGGTGATTTGATGAAATACATGGTATTTTGGCGTTAGGAATGTGTTCTATAGGATAAGCACAACGCGTGTTTTCTGTCAATGCATCATCGTCATAATTTACAATTCTACTATGAGGGTCGTAGATAACATTTTCCAAAACCGATCCAAATCGGATGGCATTGAAAATTTCCGGTTCTTTTTCTGGAGCTAAGTGTATGCATTTTGCATAACAACCACCTTCAATATTAAAAATACCATTATCTGACCAACAGTGTTCGTCATCACCGATTAACGAACGCTTTGGATCAGCTGAGAGAGTAGTCTTTCCGGTTCCAGATAGACCAAAGAAAATTGACACGTCACCATTGGGGCCTTCGTTAGCAGAAGAGTGCAATGACAAAACATTGTGTTTAATAGGCATGTAATAATGCATTACGCTGAAACTATAAAATGTAAATTTGATCAGATATTGTTAAAAAAAAAACCAATGGCAATTAGAGTTGGGTTCCTTTGAATAATTGAATATTCATTTTATCCGTGAATATTCGCGGATTCCAACTCTAATGGCAATAAAAAGAAAGATTATACGTACATTCCCTTTTTCATTTCACCGGCGTATTCTGTACCTAGAATAACCATTTCGTTCATATGAAAATTGATGGCAACGGAAGTAGTCGAAGTCATACCAGTGGTATAACGATTTGCTGGAAAAGCCCCAGCATTGTAAATGGTGAAATCAGGTGAGCCATAAGATTCGAGTTCCTCTTCAGTAGGACGGATTAACATGTTTCGCATGAACAGAGAGTGATAGGCACGAGCAGATACAACACGAACTTTGATACGGTATTTTGGATCCCATCCAGCAAAACCATCAAAGACGTATATTCTCTTGCGAGTATTTAAATAATCAACAGCACGTTCACGGTTGATGAGAAAGACATGCTCTGGTAACTTTGTATTAACTGGGCCCCACTATGTTGCAATACATTATGAATTTTAGAATTAAATATATCGAAAGAGTGTGTTAAAAAATATAAAATATCACGTGATGACATTTGAAGGATCCAAACTGTTCGAGACGATCCAAACAATGCAACAATTAGTATTCTATTTGCAACTTTATATATTAGACTAATTGTCACATTGTTTGGGTTAAATCCGTAAGCCATCAGCGAAGACGGGTTGAATACTAGTAGCGTTCTTCACGAACCGGCTCCAGACGAGTTTTTTAAAGATCTGGATCGAACCTCCGAAACCAAAACTTGTGATTCGGACTAGGCATCGGTTCGGTTCAGGATTTTCGGATCGATTCTTTGGAACATAACTATATAGTATTCGTTTAAATTCTGGGAAAAACTTACCCAAATATCTTTAGAAGAACCAGGTTCGTCTACTATACGTTTATCCTTGGGAGACCGGCCAGTTTTATTACCAGAAGCCGTTACTAGAGCTCCAGTTGAAGAAATGGCGGATCCCTCTTCATATTTCAAGGCATCTTCGTATAATTGAGCAACCGAAGGGTTCCATGTGATGGAAACATGACTGTAATCAATGTGTGCGTTTTCGTGAAGTTCTTCTTCAACTCTCCTTTGCGGCGACATTGTGAACAGTTAGTTGTATAGTATTATGATTGATTTATAATTGATTTTTTAATTGATTTTATAATTGATTTTATAATTGAAATCAGTGTTAGAATTAAAATCCTGTTGAGAAATCTGAAGAGAAAGGGCAGAAAGGTGACGTTTATATACAAGAACAGCTCAATAAATTTGACATGCGAAAGTAGAATGCATTACATAAATAAGTATTGTAAAATTGACAGCTAACAAAAAATAAACAGAAAATTCAAAATTACTATAAATGGTGATCACTGTAGCCTTTGAAACGTTTATCGGAAAACTACGGCGTAATATTCACGTCAATTATATTCTCATTGGTATAATTTATTAAGTTAAATCATACCACCAATAAATCAAATATGGCATGATTTTAATTACCCGTATACTTCCGAAAGATTCTAATATTATAGCGGGTCGGAACGGAGTTTATTTAATACGTATGCATTACCGTTACGTTTGAAAACTACACACATTTAATAAATTTGCATATGTATCTATATAGTCAGCATACGATTATTTCCGACCAATTAACCTTTTTGACGGAGAATCTATTTTTATAACGAAAATAATTAACGTACGTACGTAATTAAAAATTTGTAGATTCCTAGCGTTAGGTTTTCTATTTGAGTGCAAATTTCAGGTTTCTTGGCAGCATTGATTTGCATAACCAAATACAGTTTTAAATATTGTTATCGTTGATAAATAAATTTTTAAATGAATGACGCAAGAGAAAAAATCGGTCTTCTGGCTTTCATTATTTATTGGATTCAGCCACGTATACGTATGATACGTAATTAGTATCAGATATGGAAAGGATATAATTCCGCCGGCTATAGGTTGCCTGTTTAGTTAAATTTTATAGATAATACGTAATAACTGGATCAGCTGAGGCACCCTGGTAACCCGGGCTGAGGTTAACAACCCTGGTGAAGGTGGTCAATCCCATGTAGATATAGCTTGTAATTTAAATATTAAAATTCATAAATAGTTACTATTTAATTTCATTTATTCGTTATAATTAGCGTTGACGAGCATAAAGAACCTTTATTATTAATCTAATATTTAGAATCAAGTGATTCCACCATACGTATTTACTATTATATAAATTTCTTATTTATTGTCCCCAATTCCATTTCGAGATGTCCAAATACGTATTATCGTTATTCATTCCATTCAGATGGATACAATTATTATACCGGGTAAGTTATTTCTTTAGCCTACCTAGAGATGTTAGCAGTCCGGTCTGGTCCAACCTAGTCTATTTTGGTCTAGTCCTGGTCTGGTCCATTATGGTCTACAGTCTTAGGATTTTGTTAGTCCAGACCGGTCCAGACTGGTCTGGTCTTAAGACCAAGAACGAACCAACTGTGGTCCATTAGGTTAAGACCAGACCACACGTCATCCCTAACCTACCCGGTATAGCCGGACTACATTTTTTGACGCTAGCAAGTGTGCGTATAGCCCATGTACGTACGTACAAACTAATAGATCTCCATTAAATAATACTGAAAATACTGCTTATTATGAATATAAAGTATGTATGCACCTTGCTATAATATAAACACTCAGCCGTGTACTATATCCGGTCACTTATAGGTTTTGAAATCGGTGAATGTATAGAGATGGCAGAACAAAAATAAATGGATGTCAAAAGAAAAAAACGTACGTACGTACTTATTAAATCAGGTGTTATCAGTTATATAAATTACGTACGTACGTACTTATTAATCAAGTGTTATATAAATTACGTACGTACGTACGTACCCATATTTAGAGCATAGCAGGCTTTAAAATTCTGATCAGTCATTCACTAAATGTATCGTTACATATCACCACATATACGTAGAAACGAATTGTCAAACGAAACCAAATATATATTGGAATAATCCAGAAGTTAACGATGGGTACACTTTTGTCTTATAGGGTAAAGTAATTCAGTAATTAGCAAGATAAATGATACCTTGGTTAATAAGTGTTATATATGTCTTTTTTCAAACTTGTTAATCTAAAAGTTTGCAACCCAAAAATGATGCTGAATATAGGTTACTCAACTAAGTATTTAAAAGCTACAACAGATTAAACTAGAAATATGTGTAGGACATGTACGATTACATATTATGCTCTGTAGTTAGTGTTGGGTTTTTTTTATATTACCCGCATCCTCCATGTGCGTGTATTAAACTTATTACATCAGCAAATTTAAAGGAGCAAAATATTGCGAAAGAATTTGCGTTACGAAAAAATTTTGCAAATTAGCGCAAAAAATTTTGAAATATTTCAAAATATAATATTTTCGAAAAATTTCGATAAATATTTCAAAATATTTTGAAAGTTATTTTGCAATATTGTATCAAAATAATTTCGAAATAATTCAAAATAATTAAAATTAATGAAGAATATGCTA